AAGCATTTGGTAGTTGCTTGATTAGTACTTGTTCTGTATTGTAGAGAGCCACTTCACGGCATTTTAGAGGTCTTATTGCGTTTTCGGATTACCCATTTGTATTTGCAAAAACGTAATGTTTTCTTTTATGCAACAGTACGTCACAGGAGAGGGAGCCACCAGAAGGGCATGCAATGCATTCAAATTCAGGTTGATCTATCGACTTTTTGCTAACTATAGCTGTTGGAAAGAATACGTCTATAGACAGGAGGTTACCTGGAGGACATACGGTGCAGCCCTATTCCGCTATACATGTAGGTTGACTTTTGGATTGCGCACTAGCAAGTCGCCGTCAGGTTAGAATACGTCAATAGACTGAAGGACACCTGCAGTACAGTGCTCCTGCATACCGGTACTTCGATTGACCGTGTACCCGTTACCCGCTGTCGGACATGAAAACACCGATGAAGAGAAGGTTACCTGCAGGACATGCGGTGCAGTCCTCCTTTAAACCGCTGAATGTTCCGAGAGGACAAGGCCGACACGTGTCACTCCCATTTCCATAGTTGGTGCATTTGTAACCAGATGATGATGATGTGAGCGTGTCATCAAGATTAATGTAGTTAGGTTCTAGTTGATAATCAAGAACTTCCTTGGCAGGATACCTGGTATGGAGATAAGGATATTACCATGCTGTACCATGCTTTTTCAATTCCTCTACCAGGTTGTAGTTTATTTAAAATAATGGAAGCAAGAACGAAAATGGAAGCAACCTGCCACATCTTCATCTCCCCCTGATACGTCTTGAATTTACAAGTTCTTTCCTTCCCCACCCGACACAGTGGCAGAAGAATTGATTCGTAGATGTTTCTCGACAAGTTTTTACAAAGGATGGTGAACATTCTTAGATCATGCGTTCTTTACTTTGACTTAAAGGTAGGCAAGTGGCTGATTTTTCGATTATATCTATGCGTGCAGACGTTTGGAATAAGTAGCAACGAAATTCCTTGCTTTGTTAAAGTGCTAGTGTTATGAAATCTTAAATAAACAGAAAAATACTTTTCTAATCTCGTTAAAGCATGCTAAAGGAAATCCTAAAATTTTCACGCATCTTTTTAACGAAGTACTATTTCGGCGATCCATACTCGACCCCCAAAAGTAATAGCTGTTTAATACATTACCATTTACACGAGTTAGTGTGATTTTGATAAGAGATATTGTAACAATAAACGAAGAACAATCAATTAACAAGCATCTACGGTTTTTACTAAATATCCACTGCTGCTTACATTTCTACCACCAGGTTACGTGATCCTGAGAGATGATAAGGGTATAGCACGTCTAAAGAGTTGAACATTAGATTCCTGTCAAGTTAAAAAAAAGCATCTTCAAGCGCATTCATTGATAAGCAGTGACAAACGTTCCTTGCTTAAACTCCAATAGTGCACACTGGTACTAATTCGAATTCCCATGCAAGATATTCGATTTCCACTTGATTGCATGAGGCAAATACGCAGGTGCTGTTTTCGATACCTTGTTTCAAAATACTAGAAGAATTTTCGATTAAATTACCTAGTAATGGTAACACTCAAGCGGTAATGAGTACATATCAAAAGTTTATGAGGTCAGCTTTCATAAGTATCACATTCAAGACCGTTAATTTAAAGACAGTCGACTCCCGTTAAAGCGAGAACCCTTTTAATTTATAGTATTAGAGTACACATTTACTTTGACACATAATCATATAGTAATCATATAGTGTACGAACTAGTAAACATTCCAAGATTACAAAATAAATTTGCTATTTAGTACGTCATCCCTCTATTAGTGCACATTGTCCAATTACGAAAGTCGACTGTATTTAAGATATTTAAGTCTTGAAGTTGCTTAGTGAGGTGATACTTATGAAAGCTAACCTCATAAACTTTTGATACGTGCTCATAATCGCTTGTAACGAGAGAAGAACAATTATAAACATTAGTTTGGGATCACATAAGGTGTTCGAAATTCTGTAATAGCAGGGAATTTTTCCATACTTTTCTCTCTAGTTTCAGCCGGGGATACACCTTCTGTGGTTAATTGAGCGAGGCAAGAGTATACTGTATTGAGGCGAGTGAACAGTTTCCACACAGGAACCACTCGATTTCACAGTCTTTTCAACATTTCGCTTTCTCAATCACGAAGCTGATCAGACCAACACAAGTTGAGCCGTTACTATGCTTCTATTATATTTACGCAGCATAGTAATGTGGTCTTTGTGTAAGCCACTCTTATCAGTCAGCATCTCGTTACTTACAGATACTTCAGATTAGGTGTTGTAAAGAAAGCTTTTTCTTCTACTTCCCGCAAAGGATTGTATGCTAGGTTCCTTAAGATTAAAAAGAGATAACCAGGCGGGCATTAACATCTAGCAAAGCGAGAATATGGTCTACCATTTTACACACTCCATTACGTTGTTTGTCACTGAACACAAAATTACGGGGACCTGTTTAAATTACTCTGTGCTCACTACTTATGAATACTACAGACCTTAGACCTTTGTCTAAATGCCTTAATAACTTTAACCCTTTTTTTCCAAAGTTTAGACGTAAGCTAAGCTTAATATTTCAGTGTAGATTTCCTGTGCTTTCTGTAACTCGTGCTTTGATGAGTTATTGGTAGCACTTTTTATCTGCTGCATCTAAAATAACGGATCAAGTAAATACCCAGTTATTGGTGAACACTTTTAGGTCACTTTTTTGACATAAGGGAATAATGTTAAAATCACCCGTAGTTGTAGTCTCAACGGCTGCTGATAGGGAAGCTCAAGGACGTACGTTTTAAATTTACGTTTGCTTAAATGAGAGCTTTTCAACCCATTGCCGGGGATAAAAGAGGGCCAAATAAAAAAGAAACATGAATTCTGGTTGCCGTCTATGGTTCGGTTATGGTTCTATGGCTCTCTAATAACTCAAAAACGAACTCTGTGGCCCTTATTTTTTATCAGCGTTTTTTTTTTTTTTTTTTTTTTTTTTTTTTTTT